CTGCAGGGAGGAGCGAACAGGACAGGTGACCCAAAACTGACCAACGGGGTATTCCATCCCATCTGCCTCATGCTCAGTATAAAGGCTGAGGGATCGAAAGGTCAACTCTCTCTTCCTGCAATGGCCGACGTCTGAGGAGGACTCTGTTCATCTGCCTGCGATCACGATCCTGAATGCAGATCCGGAATCCAGTTCCCGTCCGTCACTGAGTCCAGCCTGGGACTGCCCCAGTGCCAGCTGGTGTCGTGATTGTCATCTCGGGAGCTTGATACGGTTTTGTATATATTTCATTATTATTTTTTTTCTTATTTTCTTATTAATATTTCATTAAAGTAGTTTAGTTCCTTCTAAACTCGTAAGTCTCTTTTTCCTCCTCTGCCCCTCTCTCTGAAGAGGGGTTGAGGAGAGCATCTGTCGGTCCCATCTGGGGTCCTCCAGGTCCCCAGTAGCCGATTTGGCCTAAACCACGACAGTTACTATGTCCCAGGTGCAGGATCCGGAATTTGGACTTGTTAAATTTCATCCCATTAATCATTGCCCAGTGCTCCAATCTATCTAGATCCATCTGCAAGGCCGCTCATCACAGAGTTGGACGACTTGTCCAGCAGAATGCTTTGAGGGACAGTATCAAAAGCCTTACTAAAATCTAGAAAAACTCCATCCACCACCTTTCCTTCATCCACTAGGCAAATGACCATATCAAATTAGACAGGACTTTCCCTTTGTGGACCCATGTTGACTGTGCCTGATGATTGCATTGGTTTTTAAAATGCCTTTCAGTAGCACCCAGCATGATCTTCTCTAAATTTTTTCCAGGTACAGAGGTTAGACTAACAGGTCTGTAGTTTCCTGGGTCTTCCCTCATGCCCTTTTTGTAAATTGGAATAATTTTGGCTAGCTTCCAGTCAGCAGGGACCTCCCCAGGCTCCCAAGAGATTTAGAGAGGTCCTGCTGTAACATCTGCTAGCTCCTTCAGTACTCTAGGATGAATTCCATCTGGCCTCATGAACTTATGAACATTCAGCTGATACAATCAATCCTTTACAATTTCAGTGTCCACAAATGGAAAATCACTGTTCCCGCACTCATGGTTCTCTGACTCAGAGGACTGGCTAGCCCAAGGTCTATCAGTATTATTAAAGACTGATTTTTTTTCTAGCCTTTTTTCCAATTTGCAGACTGCCTAAAAATTTCCCATTAATGGAACCCTTTAAAAAAAGTCACATACACAGACTGCAGTTAGGCAAATATGATCTTTCATTGCTTTTGTGAAATCTTTTAGAAGTAGTGGGAACCCAAGGTTTCAGAGAAAATAAGCTGGAAGTGAACACTTTAAAACAGCCATGCTGGCTGGCTGGTGAGCATGCTGCCAGCAGCAGAGACAAGCCAAGTGAGCTTTACTCAGAGACCATGGGAGTACACCCTGCACGCCCACCACTGCAGCAATCCCTCGGTGGCTGTAACTCATAGCCAACCACCACTACTCCACTTTCCAGCCAACAGTTTGGTTTCCTAACTGTATTGGTAGGATTTGCTCCTAGTTTTGCACGTAGTCATAAAGTAATGATGTGTTGCTAATTAGCCAGTGATGCAAGGAGTTCCAGTTTGCAATTTCACAGAAAAGAAACTATGAACTGACAGCAACTTTTAGGCATCACGTGCATTTCAGAGAGCAGGAATCCAGTTCTTTCCCCAACCCTACAACCACATGTTGAACAAAGAGGCTTTGAGAAAAGGATCATAGGATCCTAGAATCATAGAATCATAGAATAGCTTGGAAGGGACCTTTAAAGGTCATCTAGTCCAACCCCCCCTGCCATGAGCAGGGACATCTTCAACTAGATCAGGTTGCTCAGAGCCCCGTCCAACATGACCTTGAATGTTTCTAGGGATGGGGGATCCACCACCTCTCTGGGCAATCTGGGCCAGTGTCTCACCACCCTCCTCATAAAATGTTTCTTCCTTATATCTAGTCTGAATCTGCCCTCTTTTAGTTTAAAACCATTATCCCATGTCCTATTAAGCAAGACAGCAAAATAACAAGTCATGTAAGAAACAGCATTAAATATTGGTATACTTCATTCTTGTATATTTGCTATGCAAAAATCACAAGATTTACAGATTTCACTAGCAAAATTTTAAACACTATAGTAAAGAAACCAAGTAGGTAGGTAGTGCAAAAAACTGCAGCCATTCCAACAGATAAGCTCTGTCTTATTTAATGTCACCTATTAGTTAGCTGCCACTAGGCAAGAACCTGGTGCAAAATTCAATTTGACTGCTTTGTATGTGCATCTTAGATAAACAAGCTGTATATTTTAAACACAACACTATCTCCTTGCATTGTTAAAATGTTCCTTGGTTTTCTGTTTCCTGAAGTTACAATTTAATTCCCCAAAGTAAAATGTAATTCCTTTGTTAAGCGATTTACATCAAAACTAAAGTAAATTAAATAAATGTCTTGAAAGAAAGTCTATAATGAAGAGTAAAGAGCATCAGCATTAGTTAGCCAATGTTAACTCTAACACCATAGAGGGCCATTTTTAGTCTTATAAAAATCTGTGCCATCACATGACAATGTATGGAAGACAGTTTTCTGAACAAACCTCTTGATCCGTGAAGATCTCAATGAAGTTCTGGAAGGAGAAGGACCCTGACTGAAGAATGAGTTCTCCTGTGTTTTCAAAGCACTGTCCAGTTAGTACAAGGAGCTTGTGTCTTGCAGCATCTGTGATCATTAAGCGCACCTAGAGTGAAGGAGAGAAACACATCAATAATGGGAGTTATCATGTGTTTGTACATTCCTCTGAGAACATACAGTTTACCTCATCTAATTTAAAACATATTTTGCACCAGAGTCTCCCAGGATTGTCGAAACATTTTCAAGTTATAGTGCTGTTTACAAAAGACAACAAAAAAGGAGCAAAATGGAAAAAAGAAGGCAGAAGAAGCGATTAAAGAGAAAGTCTGATGAATAAACCAAACTAATGACATGGGGGAAAAAAGAGCAAGGAGTAGAAAGGACAAAATTTGAATGAAATAAAATAATATTTTCAATGAAGAAATACATTCCTTGTATAAGTATTGTTGAATGTTAATAGGACAGCCTTGGCCAACTGTGTCCCACATGCTAATGAGGGACAACTACACATGTCAGACTGTTTTTGGAAGGCCGATCTTCTTTTCCCAGTGTACAGCATTACTTGCCATTCAGTTGCGAAAATGTCAGTAAAAAGTAACAGCCACATATCACACATAAAAGTGGCATGTTTTGATTGTCATTGTTAAATCCTCTACAAAGTTAAAGGATGTTTCTGTTTCACCATAATCATAATCAAGCACTCAGATACAGTCACATGCAGCATTTACATCTCATGATGTCACTAACTATGGACACTATTTTTTAAGTGTGCCAGCCCAAGACCTTTTTCAAAACACAGTAATAAATTATGTAGATGCCTGATGGCTCAAAGGTAAAATAGGTTCTGCAGAGCTAGAAAACTATAAATGCTCGCAGATTACAGAGCCTAATGTATGATACACATGAAAGAACTTAGAGAGACACATAAATTATGTGTCTGGGTATAATCAAAGCTTCCTGAGGGACTACCAGAATTTTGTCCGCTGATTTCAAGACCACTACATAAATATTGCAAGGTGATGATTCTGTTCAGCTTTACCCTTGGTTGAAGTCCCAAATTGTTTGAAGAAAAGTGAACAGCAAGACTTAGCCTCAGTCAAAACAGAGTTAAAGATGGAGTGTGAACTGAGACAGGAGCGTAAGCAGATCAGCAGTTTCCAAGGCTCATGGTACAGATGCAGGAGTGTTAGAGCAATGGAGTGGGATCTTCTTAAGAAGGAAGTAACTGCTCATGGGGTTTTCAGAAACTTGTTTTCTTTGGGCAACCACGGTCTCTCTCCCTTTGGGCTTCTCTCTTTTGGGAGGTATTTGGCAGCTGACAGAACACGATGGGAGCTTTGGGCAGAACTATGCTCAGACTACTACCAGTATGGCTATTACCAGCCAGATTAGCAGAAATTTGTTTTAATATCTTTTGTCCTCTTGTTCTGGCTATTGTCCAGTGAGAGTCTTGCTTAGCCAGTCAAGGTAACTCAGTTTGTAACTTCTGGCTGTGACCAGTTTGGCAAGATGAGAGCGAAGAAAAGATTGTCTCTCACAGTCTAGCGAGAGGAAATTAACAATAACCTAGCCAAACATCTTCCAGAGCCAAAGGAGTAAAGCCAGGGGTCAGAAGGCATTAATCGGCCTCAGACCATGTTCTTCCACATGGTTATCCATCAAAGGAATGACAAGCAACACTGACAGAAGCAACATTTCCCTACTTTTGGCAGTTCCTTCAGCTCTTCCCCTCCCCCATCCTTTATAGCTTTTTACTCTGAAAGCCTGAGTGTATTAAAGACAACCCTGAGAGCTGCTACCCACCTGACACCTTTGTTCCTTATCAAGTACCTCTAATACAATGTAAGAGATTTTCACACATAATTTTTTAGTGCATGTGCTGCCATTAACTAAGGTTACTTACTTTTTTAAACTTTTAAAACTTCAGAAATTTCATTTGTTTTGGTGTGTTTCCTCCTGTTTGTGTTTAATATCACTTAAGGTTGGTAACAAAATAGATTTTTCACAAAGTGCTGCAAGCAGAGCCGCTTCATTTCCCAAAAGAACTTGTACTATGTCAGTGATTCCCAGCACTGACTAGCAGTGTAATTATCCCTATTTTTTACAACCTTCTGTCTCACTAGCTAAATTTGTCAATTTTGTCTTTGAGCTACATGCTCAGTTCTTTGACTCTCGTGAGTTCATGAGCAATTGACAGTCCTCTTCTGGGGCACTCTCCAGAGTCCACTGATCATATCATGTGCTTTTTGAAGGACAGATCACATAGATCAACCTAGACTCACCACCACATAGATGGTAATTCTTCTCAAAGACCTAAATTTATCTCAGGGCACCTGGTTTCTTTTCAGGCACTTTTTCAGATGTAACATAGGCATCCAGAGCTACCAAACAATGGAGGAGCAGAAGAAGAGCAGATGCAGCTTCACCACTGCTGCCTTCACTTCATCAAGAAGGGAGTTTGGTGTGTTATGAGGAAATGAGTGCTGGGATAAGTGGTGTGTTTCTGTCCTATGCCTTTGACGCTTTATCAGGAGTCTGGTAAACCAGGAAGAAAATCAAGGGATGGCTGATGGTTTTGATGATATTTGCTCCTAACATGTCTTTTTGTCCACAGTTAGGAGCTGCTCTCAACCTGTCCACTTAGTGGAGCTTTTATGACACATCCAGTGAAGTATTTCTGACTGACTTACCTCAGTACTAACTGCTTCATCTGAGGGATTGATCAGGACTACAGTTTCTAAGACATCACTTCTATGGTGAAGAATTTTCTGACCTGCAAGCACAGAGAGAAAAAAAAGACATTAAATTCAATCAGCGTGGTTTAAAACAGTGCTTTCCCTGAGCTAGTTATACGTTCCACTGTGTGACAGCCCTCAGGTTACACAGGGCAGTGCACACTGACTGCAGCTACTACTGTGCTGGCTCATGTCTTCAGAAATACCCATGGCATGTGGTCCTATGGGCCAGAAACACCAATCCAGAAAATTCAAGGTAATGAAAACAAACTGGCAACAGTGCTGGGTCCAGTCCCTTCCCCTTGGCAGGAGGAGTCCCTGTTACTCACCTTGGTCTTACTGAGGTGGTGTGGATCAGGGACTGGAGTAACTGTCACCAGCTGAGCTGGATTTTCATGTATGTGTCTATACCACAGATACAGATGAGGATACACAGTCCTGTAACATGCCTAGGTGGTTTTAAATGAACTTTTCCAGGAATTATTGGTGGCTTAGCCACAGCAGGAGAAAAGTCAGCAGGGGCTGCAAATTTCCCCTGCAAGAAGCAAAGTGAATACTCGGGCCATATGCCAGCGCTGCTCATCATGGCTAACAAGCACAATTTGTGAGACAAGAAAAGGAGCACAGGGATGTCCCTGCTCCCCACCACCAGCACCATCCTGCACAGCACACACATGCTCCTCGTCACACTCTGTGAGAGCACACTCAAGCCAGGCAGCACCCATGCAGACCACAGGTCCACGGCCGCACCAAACAAACCAGGTGAAAGCTGGGACTCACTCTGCCAAAACTCCCCGTTCAGCCTTCTACTAATATTGATTAACACTGGGACACTGGGAGAAATTCCCTATTGGGATGGTCAAACACTTGCCATGCTGCCATGCTTCATCTTTCTGCTGCTTACAAAAACTATAGCAAACAATGTTAGGCAAGAAGAGTGAACAGATGTACAAAATACAGCTAACTCCTTGACCTAGTTTGAAGTAAAACAGAACCAATTTGCTGTTCAGTAATTTTACTTTGCAGCTAAGCCTCTTCTAACTGCTGAAATAAGCAGCATATTGTTCAGACACTGTTTGCTCTCAGAGTGATAAGATCTATGTTTATAGTTGATGCCAAGGAATGGTACGCAGAGAGGCTCTTGCTTATACTTATTGCTATAACAATACAAAAGCTGGGGGATCAAATCAGCCTTCTTTCTTCAATGGCCGGGGTCTGAGGAGGACTGAGGTTGTTCATCTGCCTTTGATTCCAATCTGTGCGTTCTGAATCCATATCCAGAATCCAGTTCCCGTTCATCACTGAGTCCAGCCTGGGACTTCCCCAGCGCCTGTTGGTGACATGATTGTCGTCCTGGGAGCCTGATATGGTTTTGTATACATTTCATTATTTTCTTTTTATTTTATGATTAATATTTTCATTATAGTAGTTTCGTTCCTTTTAAACTCATATTTCTCTTTCTCTCTGTCCCTCCTCTCCTTGGAGAGCGAGGTGGGGGAGAGCATCTGTCATTTCACCTCAGTGGCCAGTCTGGCCCAAACCATGACACTCCTGAATGAATAACAACTGGGCAATTTTGGAACAGCTTCACAGTCCATTGGTTTTCATACTTAGTATTTAGTCTGTTCTCTGTATTTAATAGTGATGTGACTGGGAGTGGATGCCAGAAAAACACAACAGGACTCGATTATTTTTTCCCTATGGTAATTAGCAAGATCTTGTCAGCGTCTCTTTCTGTAAGAACTGTAGTGAGATTAATTAGCAGCCATATTGTCATTCATAAATCCAGACTGGTAATTGTGGGAGAATTTTTAGAGATCAATGGTCACCCTGTGAGCACCCCAAGCACCGAGAACTTGTTGACGACAGTGTAAGCTTCAAGGAATGTTGAAGGTCAAATTGTGTTTTGTGAACGGCTGAGTTATGTGGAGGGAGGAAAGAACTGTTGCTGAATGTACCGATAAGCAGGATTTTTGAGTAAAACATAGAAGTAGATAACT